TAAAGGTTTTTGTGTATTCATCCCTACATCATCCTTAGTTTTTCAATTCTTTTTACTACTTGTATATTGCAATTTGAATAATTGTATAGCATACTTTAAGGTTTACATACATATATATTAGTTTAACTACAATGTAGTCCTGAAAAGGACAAATTTGTCTTACGAATACAAAACATTCAAACTCTAGATATTTATCCTATGCATCATATTCATATCCACACATTAATTTAACTTACGATCTACATAAAATGTTCACACTCTACACATATATCATGTTACCTAACTGTAATACAGTGAGTGAAGTTTGACTTCATGGTTTAGATATATGACTATACATACACTGGTTTATCTTACAAATACATAATCTTGAAAAGAAGTTTTTTCGTGTTAACCTAAAGCAGTCAAGGTCTCGATACTTGTTCTTTACATACTCATATCCATACACTAACTTAACTTACAACCAAAACAGACCTGAAACGAACTGTTTTGGTTTGTTTTATACGTAAGATGTTTAAACTGTAGATATAATTACTTGAATCATATACCATAATAGTAGTAATGTCAAAACTGAAAATAGACACCATGTCTGCATTTATTTTAACGTGAACTACGTAGCTCTGTTTTTTATTCTTACGTCTTCTTTTACCTAAAAGTTAATATTAAAATCTATATGAATATTTTTCTCCAACTAAATATACCAACATTGTTATAATGCTTTGTAAAACGGTTTTCTAAAAGTCAATCGAGCATCATCTTGAATGGCATCAGTCATAGTTTAAAGTCCTTGAGCATATTCGAGGAACTCATGTTGGTTTATTTTAATATATATAGTGTACTTCATGTTTTACACATAGTAAGTTACAGTATATGCAGAGGGCTATTTCTTGTTATTGAAATAAGATATTCAAACTCTAGATACATATCAGATGAATCACTTATTGCAATACAGTACAGTTTAACTTTCGCTTTACATGTACACAATCTTACAGTTAAATGGAGACCCGGCATGGCCAGGTGGATAAGGCGCTCGACTCACAATCTGAGGG